TGCAAGTTCAATGACATAGGATACGACAATAATGAAGAATCAGTAGGCTTTCTTTAGGAAAATGATACAAATATTTCAGTCTTGTAGTACTGCTCAAAAGTTCTGGTAAACATAGTAAATAAAATTCTTTCCTCTCCGTTTAACGACGAAAATGAACTGAAAATTGATTTTTTTGTTAAAATTGAGAAACTCCAAATTATTTTATAGAAAACATATTTCTCTTGGATTGAGACAGGTAGGACCACAAAATATTGAATTCATGTCAAATCTTGTGATCCACTGATTTCTGTTTTCCATTTTTAAATATTGATTTATGCTAGCGTAGTATTTACCAGAGGTCTCAATAGTATGGAATCAAGATGGAAAAGGCTAGACTTTAGTATTCTGAAGTACTTGAGTCCAGCCTATTGAGACCTCTCGTATTTACATCCATACTTTGCAGTTATATTCCATCCTCGTAGCTATGATTTTACGAGTCTAACATATATTGACAATTTAAAAAATTTTTATCATCAGTTCATAGTCTTTTCTACTACTATGATTTAGATAGTTCTTGATAAATCGAACTCTAATTATGATGTTTAATCTAATGATTGATATATCTATATAAATCATAAATCTAAGATTTAAACATGTATGTCATCATCGATTTTGTCATATAATTTAAATATCACTTTGGTCACATCTTTATTAACTCTATAAAAAAAGATGTATATAATACATACTATATTTCATCTTAGCAGATGTCACTCCATATCAATACACTGCTTACTGAGGCGAACTGTAGAAGAAAGTATGGCGAAGATGAACGAAAGCATGTATCATTAAGATATGACTCAATCATTTCCCATTGTTTTCAATCAAACATAAAAATAAAAAGATTAGTCATTTAAAACGAACGAAAATGAAAAAAGGTTCAGTATTCGCTAATAAAAAAGGTCCTTTAGGAAATGGATATGGCACACCAATTAATATTTCATCTACATCATCCTCACTTTTTGATAATAGTCTTCAACAACAGAATCCATTAGGATTAGCTCGAAATTGGCAAGCTACACCAACAAATACACGTCGATTAATTCCTCTTCATCATCAACAATTATTACATCCATCAAATTCATCTACAAGTATTAAAGCATATACTATGGCTCCTACAACAAATACACCAAATACAAGTATTATAAATCGAGCTAAACCATATACAATTCAAGGTCTTGTAGAAAATCTCAATGAAGTAAAGAACTATTATTAATCTTGAATTTTTCTCTTCTACTTTTTTTTTCTTCTTTTTTTAGTTACTTGCTGAACTTGCTATTCCCCATGTTATGCGTCATGAAACAAAATATGGATTTGAAGATATTCTTACTGTTCTCGATGTATGTAATCTTTTGTTTTTTTGATTTTGTCTATATGAATTTTTTTAATCAAAGCATCTAGCAAATCCATCTCGTTATGAAGATCAACGTTTTCAACCATTTCCACCAGCACCTCAACCAAATAAACCAGGTGGAAAAGTTTCATTAACAGATCGTTGGGCATATTTAAAACATGTTCTATTAACATATCGTCTTTCAACAATTGAACAATTAACACGTATTAAACCTGAACGTGCAATGTCAAATGAAAATATAATGATTATGATTGATTTATTAATACAATTAATAAAATGTATTATTAAAAGTGAACATGAACAAAAACGTATATTAGAAAATAATTATTTAAGAGAATTTAAATTATTAATGCGTCAAATGTTTTGGATTGGTCGATATGATCCAGCTGTTATGGAAGAATCAATGTATGAATTACGACATCATATTTATGCTAAAGATAAACTTGAAATAATTGATAAATTAAAACATGAAAAACAAATGAATGAAATGATTATTGAACGTGATCAACTTAAACAACAAGTAAATATTTATAGCTAAGGTTTCTTTCTCTTTTTTTTTTTTTTAATTAAATATTATTTTGTTAAATATTTAGTTTGAAATATTAAAAACAACTTTTAATGAACTTGAAAATGAATGTACAATATTAACAACATCGAATGAAAATGATTTTATTGAATTTACAAAAAAACAAGAAGAAATATCAGATGAACAAGCTAAATTAGTTGAATTAACACAAATTGTTGAACAAAAAGGTATGGAAATTTACATTTTATTCTTATTTAAAAACAAAATGATTTTTTATATTTAGAAATGGATAAAAAACATTTAACTGATCGTAATCAATTATTATCAGATCGACTTTTTTCTCAACAAACAGATGCTGAATTACAACATCATATCCGTTCAAATGGTGAACTTAAACAACAACATGAAGTTCTTCTTTCTACATTACTTCTTGAACAACAATTACATTCAACAGCGACTAATGAACATAAACGACTTGTTAAAGAAGTAATCAACTAAAACTTTCATTCAGAATACAGCGGTTCGACTTTTTAGACTCTCATGAGAGAAGTTCTCTCACTGATTAATCGCTTCTGAGTTCAGACTATGTGCAGTATGTACATCCAAATGAATTATGAATATTTTGAAAAGAGTTCGTACCCGTAGCTTATTGTTGCAGAGTTACTACACTTTTACGGTATTTGTTTTTGAATGAAAGCCGTGATAGGAGAAAAACGGATTTTTTGAATTTCAATTTGAAATTTTGCATAGAAACAGGCCTTAAAGAGAATAGTTTTTTTGTGAATGTTTCAGGTGTTGTCGCTGTTTCTATTCTAAGATACAACTATGATAATACTGTATCTTTTCCACTACTCATATAAATCGACAGATTTGATGCTCGTATTTCAGAATAGGAGCAAATCAAAAGACCTGCAACTTTCACAATAGACTATTCTCGTTGAGACCGATCTCTATGCAAAGTTTCAAGTCGAAATTCATAGCTTATTTAGGTCTACATAGTGCATATAGTCTCGGCTCAAAGACTATTTATCAGGTGGAGAACTTCTCTCGCCAGCCAATTAAATGTTTCCAGATAAGGAACAAGTCAATTGAAACTTCGATCTTGGATTCGATTGATTGATATGTTTTGATTTGGAATCATTGAATGAAAAATTTTAGATACAAAATCACTTAATTGAAGTTATAAGACGCAGACATGTTTAGTAGAAATTTTTGAGTGTAGTTAAAACTCCGCCTACAAAAATTGATGTTAGATCAGATGCATTCAAATTGCATGAAATTTTCAACTCAATATCGTGACATTTTCGGGACATACTCAACAAATAAGGGTCAAGAATAACTCATTTGACAACTCAAAATTCTCTGTGGACACTCATTCTATAGATTCTTTTTTATTTGAAAAAGCAGGTCAAACTGTATTGCCTGACTTTTTTTAAAACTCTTTATTTTTATGCATAGAAAAAAGATGACAAGTTAATTACCATAATAAAATGATCATCTATTTATGTAAATCCTCTTTTATATAATAATAAAAAGAAAACACAGGGCATTCCAGCTCCATATACTTTTTCAAACAAAAGAAAAAAAGGAAATTGGCTACAATGAAGTTCCTTCGAAAGCGCGATCACATTAACACAAACAGAGAAAAAAAAACCGCTTATTTTTCAAGTAGCAGACAACGGAAATCATCAAAAATTTTGACAACGAAAAAAAAACGATTACAATCGGATTCATATTGTTGATTATTTTGTTTTTTTTCCTCCAGTTATTTTAAAACACTTTCCCTTTTTGTTTTTCTAGTTACAAGAGTCACTTGCTAAATATCAAATATTACTTAGTGCATATAAACATAAAGCACCTCGACCACCACCATCTTCTGTTGATTTTTGTTTAAGTGATATTATTGGTGATACAACATCAATTATAGATAATGATTCTGTAAAACAAGCACAAATAGCAATTGAAAATTTAATAAAAGAAATCAATACACAAGAAATATCACTTACACAACGTCATCGTGATCTTGAACAAGAATCAAAAAAAGTAATTGAATAAAATTTTTTTGTTTTTTTTTTAATTATTCTAATAAATGAAAATAATTTATTCTATATAGAAAATTGAAGAACTTCAATTAGCTGAACGTGAATGGAAATCAGTAACTAAAAATGGTCAACGACGTGCAGCTCAACAAAATGAATTAAGTCGTTTTCAACAAGAAGTTCGTTTAATACGAACAAAAATTCTTGAAATTGAACGACGAATTGAAGAAAAAAAAACATCAACAATTGAATTAAAAAAAGATTTTGAACAAGTATATAAAATTCTTTTAAATCAATTTATTTTTATTATTATTATTTTCAATTTTAGATTAAATTAGGTATTATTGAATTATTATCACGTTTTGAATTCTTAGAAACAAATTATATTAATAAAGAAGAAGAACTTCGACATGAATTATCATGGTTTATAATTGATCAAACACAATTAGCAAAAATATTTCGACGTGATGTTGAAGAATTAAAACGTATACAACAAGAACATATGTCAAAATTAGATATTCATTTAATAACATCATCATTTGATGAACTTATCCAACAACAAATTAATAAATTTTATCATTATAAACATATGGAAGATGATGATGAAGAAGAAGATGATGATGATGATTATCTGGATGAAGAACGAAAATTAATTAATAAATTTGATAAATTACATGAAGAACATATTATATGGTTAAAAAAGAAAAAGAAAAATGCAAAAATTACAATGCCAATTGTCGAACGATTTCGTATGTTATATAATTAATTATGGTAGAATTCATTTTTTTTTTAAGTCTTTCGTTTCTTTTTTTTAGAAGAACTCTATGACCATTTACATCTGCTTGATAAGAACTAAAATTTTTCTTATATGTCAAATATTTACATATTTTTATGCATCTTAATATTTCTTTTTTTGTGTTATTTTCTCAGTAATTTTGTCAGATAAATGATCTTATTTCGCATATTTATAATATATATTTTGAGGAATTAACTTTATTAAATTTTTCATTAGTTTTAGATTTTTTTTTAAAAATATATATGAATTATGATTGATTTGAACTTTGCAGTTGTAACAGGTATTGTTAGGATTTCTTTTGTTTTGTATGACACATTATTTTCTCTACCACTATCATTTTTCAAGAATCGAAACATGTCAGTATTTGTCTAACAATATAATTAAATCAAATAGAAAAAATAATCTTAATTCTCGATAGTTTTTTTTTTATATATACACTTAATATAATTGTGAAGACTATTTTAATTATTGAACAAGTCAATTGAATATAAATATATTTTTATTTATTCCAGTGAGTACAACTTGTTATGATGATCCAATAAACGATCATTCAGGACCTGCACTTATTAAATATATGGCAGATAAATCAAATGAAAAGTATGTTATACGAGATTTTTCTCGTAATTGAAAAATCAATATTTAAATGATCCAGAAGAAAAAAAAAATTATTAACTAATCTATTATTTTATTCAGTATTCAATGGATACATCTAGCATCTACAGTTGTTCCTGACAATCAGATTCATATCAAGGCATGCATGTTTTCTCTTTCAAATTTACAGAATATTTTTCTTTTCTCTCATACATACATCAAGTTGAAAAACTAATTGATCATAGGATTGAATATTATGTATCGCAAGGCAGTTAAGAAGATGCTAATTTAAAAATGAGTAATGTTTTAATGAAAATAAAAAAATTCGAATGATGATTATTATGATTAAAAAAAAAACATCAACATCATTTGTAATTTGATTTTTATGTTGTCATTTGTTGTGGCAGAATGGTTATAAAAGAAAATGTCACAGGAATTATACTTTATTTTGAAATTCATTAGGTCAATTTAATGAACGTTTTGTTCATGTTTTGAAGCTATCGAATACAATCTTTCATTTTTATTTTTTGTTAATTTACACTGGTATTTTATGTGAAAAATTAATCTATGATTTATAAAAACTCGAAGAAAAAGAAAACAAAAATTAGTACTCAAACAGAATAAATCTCATTTTTTAAAATAATAGATTTTTTCATTTATTCAGAACAAAATCATGAATTTCTACGTTTGTTCTTCTAGGAAACACTGTTGAAATTAAGTGATGAATTACGACCACATTTAATATTGACAACTGGTGGAACAGGAATTAGTCCGGATGATGTCACACCAGAAGTATGTTATTTGTTTTTTAATGTAATAGAATAATTTGTAGAATGAAATTTACTGATTTCAAATAAAGATGGAAATTAAGAAGTAACTTTGATTTATAACTAATACAAAAACTAATATTCCTGAATATGTTTAATTTCGTTTGATCACATATCATTTCTTGTAATTCTCGTTTTTTTAAGGCTACACGTGATATTATTACAAAGGAAATTCCTGGTATATCACAAACAATGATCGCAAAATCATTGGCAATTACTCCAATGGCAATGATTTCGAGGTAAGATTTATTTCAAAGATTTTCTTTTCTAATTTCATTTTTTATATCAAGACCCGTATGTGGTATTTATCAACAAACATTAATTATCAATCTACCCGGTAGTAGTAAAGGATGTGTAGTACGTACTAATGTGTTAACTTCTTTTTATATGACCATATTTGATCTTTGTATTTTCTAAGGAATGTCTAGATTTTGTTTATCCAATTTTAAAACATGCTATCGATTTAATTCAAAATAAACGTACTGAAGTGGATATTACACATTCTGCTATGCAAATAAAAGTTAGTAGTTTCATTAATTTTGTATAATATAAATAATACTAAAAAATTCATTCCTTTTTTTTTAGACGAATAGAAAACATCATTCTTGTGGTGGTGATCATCATCATCATCATCATCATGGTATGATCATAAACATATTTGATATTTTATAAATCAAATTTATAAATTTCAGCTGAAACAAGTAATAAAGGTGAACGATTACGTCATTCTCCATTTCCAATGATATCTGTTGATGATGCAATGAATATTATTTTTGAATATGCTAATAAAATGCCAATAATTGATAAGCCTCTAACTGGTAAATATATTCAATATTATTAATAGAAATTTGATTATCATTGCATTCAAAATTTAATTTTTCCAATTAATAAATAATAATCTATTGTAGAATGTTTGAATTACGTATGTGTTGAAGACATTTATGCTAAAGAACCATTTCCACCTTTTCGAGCATCTATTAAAGATGGTTATGCTGTTCGTTTATATTCTGATCCATCTCATGAAAAAATCTATGAAATTATTGGACGTTCAGATGCTGGAGGAGAAAATGTAGATATCAATTATTTTGTTTATTCATATTCTATAATATATTCTTGTTAGACTAACATTCCACTTATGGAAGGTCAATGTGTAGTAATCAATACGGGTGCTAAATTACCTGATTCTGCTAATGCTGTTATTCAAATTGAAGATACACAAGTTCATGAATATCATCCAACAAAAACAGATGGTTTAGATGAGAAAAGTATTCGTATAACTACCGAATGTTCAATGAATCAAGATATTAGGTACGTTCTTGAACTACGAAGATCATTCAAAAACTTTCGAGATTGATTTTATTTAAACACAATAAGAAGTACTGCTGTATCAGTATTGTCGTCTGTGTGTAGTTCATACAGTTCTCGATCTCTAGATGTCATGAGTTCTGATCAATTAAGCATTTATGTTCTGGTATATCAATACTTTTGACACTGATTTTGTTTTTTTGAAGATAGACAATTAAATATTGACGATGATCCTTTATGTGAATGATAGGAATATTAAAACAGTTAGCAGCTTAGTTATCGAAAAACCTCAAATCATAATTTCGCAAAATGCAATAGTGCTTCTTGCTGTTTAAAAAAAAACCGTTCTCGAAAAATTTGTAAGGAAAAGAAAAATTTTTTGGTGTATGTGTTTTTTATAGAAACATTGGCGATGATGTTCATATTGGTGAACTTGTTTTAGAAAAAAATGTTCGTTTAGGACCTGCTGAATTAGGTCTACTTGCTACAGTTGGTTTACGAACAGTACGTGTTTATGATAAACCACATGTTGTTGTTCTTTCAACTGGCAATGAAGTTTGTTTAGAAAAATTAATATTTAATATTTTTATTATTTTGATAATTTATAGTTAATGCCAATTGATGCGTCATCAAGTGATAATGGAAAAATTCGTGATAGTAATAAAATAATGCTTATGAGTGCATTACAAAATTTAAATATACTAAATGTTATTGATGGTGGTACAGCAAAAGATGAGTTCGTATTTATTTTCATAAATTGAATTTGAAAATTTTGTGAAACACAATCTACAAGGCGTGTTAAAGTATAAAAGTCGAAATTTGGACCCCCTCCCCATAGACGTGATAGACATGTCAGAAACAGTTCATCAGAGACAGCTTACAACAGATGTGACAGGCATGAATACGAGATCAAAATCTACTACGGAATTACTATAATAGGTGCTCCTAACATTTCTTTCGCATCCCTGCAGCATATTGCGATTAATATATTCATTAACAGTAGGTAAGAATTCATAAACCAAAACATATATTGATTAATCCTGTCTTTTACAGCACCATCGGCTCCATTGTGTTTCACATATTAGTCCCATAGGACTTGCGCTAAGAATTTTTATTATTATATTATAGTGAAACATCCGTTATTCAAACATTACAATCAGCTTTTGAATTAGCTGATATTATTATTTCAACAGGTGGTGTTTCTATGGGTGATAAAGTATAGAAAGAAAGAGAAAAACAAAGATAAATTTTTTCAAATAAAATTTTATAGGATCTTATTAAATCAATATTAACAAAACAATTTAATGCTACAATTCATTTTGGTCGTTTACAAATGAAACCTGGTAAACCAACTACTTTTGCTACATGTGAAGTTAATGGAAAGAAAAAATTATTCTTTGGTTTACCAGGTTATTAAAACAAAAAAAAAAGAATACTTTCATATCTATTTCATCTTCTGATATTTACAGGTAATCCCGTATCAGCTTTAGTTACTTATTGGTTATTTGTTGTTCCTACACTTAAACATATGATGGGACATATACAACCTCATCATCCAATAATTCGTGTTCAGGTATAATTTAATTAACATAAAAAACAAAGGTTTCACAAAAGTAATCGTTTTTATTTCTGTTCGATTATTTAGCTTAATCAGCCTATTGAATATCTTGATCCACGACCAGAATATATACGTGTAATCATTGAATGGTCAACAAAATCTTCAATTCCAATAGCTCGTATTGTTTCACCTGATAATCAATGTAGTTCACGTTTACTTAGTGCTCGACGTTGTACAGGTTTGGCACGTTTACCAAGTAAAACTGATGTTAATTCATCATTTTTTAATATTAATCGAGATGATCTTGGTCAACAAGTTGATTGTTTGCTACTTCTTGACATATAAAGAAGATCATTGTTAATTGAATATTTTTATTTTAATTTTCTCTTTCTGTTACTTGAAAAAATAAAAATAAAAATATTTAATTGTTTTTTTTTTATCATTGTAATTGATATTTAAAAGAAAATAAATAAACAAAAGAAAAGAGAGAAAAAAATGTTTTTTGTTTGTTTGTGTGTGTATGTTGCTTTTTGAACAATCATTTGATAATTCTTAAGATCGGAATCCACCGACCAAAAATGATAAATAAGCTGATAATGCATTTGCATTAAGCATATTCATATTAACTAAATTATTTGGATTTATTAAAGCATTATTATTGACATTATAACCATTAGAATTTGTATTTGTATTCGAAAGTTTTAATCCAAGTGGAAGACGTGTTGTTGTTGTTGTTGGAAATTTATTTGTATTAAGACACATTGATGATGATCGTTGATTATTATTTGATGATATTGTTGAGATTTTTAAACCCATAACTTTTTTTATATTTTCTTCGAATAAAATTGTACCTTTTGATTTTGATAAATGTGTTGAATCTTCAAAACAACCACGAATATCATGTGAAATATTTGGATGAGAAATAATAAATACTTTTAATTCAGGTGATGCCATAGCTGAAATATAAATAAATAAATAAATAAATAAAACAAGTTATTTAATTAACCTTGTAATAAATAATTTAATTTTTCAGTTTTTATTCGACTTTCATCATTTGATTGTCGAGAAAAAAGAAGTGAAATATAAACTTCTGATTGTGGACTAAAAGTTTTTGTTGTTACAATTAATTCTTTGATTTGTTCACTAACTTCTTGTTCACTTAATTTATCACGATTAAGATCATTTGCACCAATATGAAACATACTTTAAACATTTAAATATATATGTAAAATTAATTAATCGATTAAGAGAGACATACATTTTTTTTGTACCAATGAAACGGGTTGTTTGAATAAATTCAAGAGCTTGTGCTACTCGTTTACCACGCTAGAAATAAAAAAACAATCGATTATATTCTTAATAAATTCGATTCACTTCTTGTTAATATAAAGGGAAGGTTAAAAATTTAGAAACAAAGTATTTTTTGACTTTTTTCCTCAACGGTAATAGCAAGGACTAATCAGAGAAAAACATTTGAGTAAGTAAAACAATTTCCTATTAAAAGAAGTATTTGTCAAATTCCAGCTGTCAAGTTTGCCTAAAAGGTCTTTGAAAAACTAAGATTCGAAATACCATTTTTTTGGTTATATCAAAAATGTTTTGCAAACAAGCTCATCTAATAGAGAAAACATTTCTGAACAAAAGAAGATGTCCTCGGGCTCTCTACATCCTATTTTCAGCGAACCACACTCATTCTATGAAACGCTTGTAAGTATAAAACATAATAAATTCATGCAAATTAGAAAAACACCCTTGCGTAGAATGAGTATGGTTCGTTGAATTTAAAAAAATTTTTTTTTCCTATCAGATGACCTTGTTTGTAAAGCATTAGAATCCAGAAAATTAGTTTTGGAAGTCATGATTTTCCAAAGATCTTTCACCAAAACCTGTCATTAGGAATTTTATCATGTGGTTCTCCTGATGGAAAATAATTTCGGCTAATTAAATCTTGTCTTCAATTTATTCTATCTGTTACTGTTATCAAAAATATTTCGTTTCTAAACTTTTTGTCTCTACCTTATAATTAAAAGATCAAATTTTTCAAAGAAAAAATTTCATTCAAATATTGCTTTTAATTTACCATTGTTTTAATATATGTTTTTCTTTCAATATCAAATCGAGCTGGATCAAGATATTTTAATGTTGAATCACCAATAAGAACATTTTCAAATGTTAATGTTCGTTCTGCTCGATATTTTAATGTATTATTGATTGATTGTTGATTATTATCAAGATTTTTAATTATTCGTCCATTTGAATTATTACTATCGAGTATCATATGATTATTATTTTGAGCCATTGTATAATTACATGTTGAACTATTTGATGATAAATCTAAAAAAAAACAAACATAAAAATCAAACTACAAATTATTTCTCTATTTAAACTATCTAATTAATATATGAAAAAATTACCAATATTTTCATTATTTGTTGTTGTTGTTGTTGTTGTTGTTAAATCTATTTGTGTTATTGATTTAATATTATCATTTGTAATTAATGAATTAATTTTTGATGATGTTAATTGTTCTGAAATAGCTATTTCACTTAAACGTCGTTGAACATATTCACAAATTTTTGATTCCATTGTATTTTCAAGATTAAGTACTTCATATATAAGAAGAGTTAATTGTTGTCGAAGTTTTGAACAATTTTCACATTGATTTGTATTATTTATTGCTGAATCACCACCTCCATGAGATTGATGATTAGTAACACATGAATCACCTGTAGCTGTTATTAATGGATCTTGAATGACATTAGCTAAAGCGGCATGGACAGCTTGACTAAGCGAAGATGTTCCGGATGAAGATGACAAGTCTATAATTACAAAGAAATCACAGATGTTTTTCGCCTTTTAGTGATAAAAAAAATCAAGATTCAAACTTGCAACTAATTGTGAATTATTATTATTTTTTTGTTGATATATATGGGGATGAGCAGTCTGGCCGGAAGCTCCATTAATGTTTTTTTTTATTGTAAGGATAAAACATAATATTATTCGGGTCATATGAGAGAGAATATCCCATAACCCTGGATTGGCCCAAACAATACCATGTTGTATCCTTACAATAGTAGAGAAAAGCTATCAGATCACACGATAAACAGGTAACTTTTCTCTACTATTGTAAGGATAAAACATGGTATTGTTTGGACCAATCCAGGGTTATGTGGTATTCTCTCTCGTATGACTCGAATAATAGTATATTTTATCCTTACAATAAAAAAAATATTAATGAGACTTCCGGCCAGACTGCTTATTCCCATATATATGTGCAGTAAAATCTTTCTTAAATAAACAAGTGTTCACTGTTGAGAGATGTTCATCTATGGATGATGTCATATGTTTTACTTCGAAATGGAAAAAAGTTTTAGAATATAAGCTTCTTTACTAGTTTTTGAAGTAATCAGAGAGCATTCTTTTGTATTGTTTATCTTCCTTTATTTGAATATTTATGAATCTAAAAGCTTTGCTTTGTTTCACAAAATCCTATATTTATTGTTTTGATCTGGATAATCATTTAAATATTCTTTTTTGTCTTATTTTAAAATATTGAATACAGAACTAAGTGAAATATTTAATTTGTCATCAAATTCACATTGTGACGAACCATTACCATTGTTGTTATTATTAGTTCATATAAGATGATGTATTATCATGTCATCGCTTTCCCAAACATGCACATTAATAAGAAATAAAGAACAGTAGTGTCAGTGCATTAATCAGAGACAATGAAGAAGAGAGCAAGAAAAAAAGCATGCATGTATATTCATGTGAAATAATTAAAAATAGCAATTGAGACTGTCAAAACAATATTGAAGATTTGAGTGCAGTGCTGTGTTCACTATATCCTGACAATATTCATAGAACATCATGACTTTCAAAACATTCAGATCTGTATTACTACGTAATTTAAATTTTCTTTCTTGTTTCAATGACAGTCACAAACAGGATTCTACTTAATAACTCTATGCAATAATTGAACTCGATTGCGAGTTAGTTTTTCATTCATGGTTTTTTTCTCTCTTAGAAAATGATTTGACCAATAAATCACTTTCGAGTCGAGACTGTGTAGAACTAAATACGTTATGAATACTATGAAAAGAGTTCGTATTCTTAGCTTATTGCTGCTGAGATACTGACCTTTGTATGATAGTTTTTAAGTGAATGCCGTGATTACCTCAGGAAAACTAATTGTCGAATTTTGATTTGAAACTTAACATAGAAACAATCCTTTACGAGAATAGTTTACTGTAAATGTTTGAGATCTTTTACGTTCCACATAACGGCAGATTCGATATTCTTATTTCAGGATAGAAGTAAATCAAGAGATTTAAAACTATTATAATATAAACTATTCTCACTAAAGCCTATCTTTGGATAAAGTTCGAAAATCAGTTTTCCTTGACCACAGCATTTATTTAAAAACTACTATAAGATTTCAGTATTTCCGCAGCAATAAACCAAAGACCAGAAGTGTTTTCAGGATATTCAAAACTCATTTGAGTCTATATTATGCACATAGTCCTGATTCAAAAGTGGATTAATACGTTGGAAAATTTTCCTTGTAAGATTTTACCTCGATGTTCCGTTAACAATTTTGTAGTTAAATTTGAATCAATTTGTTGATGATGTTCATTGATCATGGAATTATTTGATTTTATAGTTGCAAATGCATTTTGATTTTGATTTAAATTATTATTATTATTATTATCTTCTGATGAATTAAGTATCGTAGACATAATCGTTATATTCGATCGTTCGAAAGGAGATAAATATTAATGATAAATATAGATATATATATATATAGATTATTCGTACCGATATTAGAATATGAATAGAAGAATAATGTTAATTTGTATCGAATATTTACTTTTAATTTTGTTAAGATAGACCGAGATAGACTCGCATAGAACAGAATGAATTATATAATGTTTAACGCGCGGTTTTTAATTAGTTTTTATTTTATTATAAAAAAAAACAAAAAAGCAACAACAATAATATTTATAATGAAGCTGATTTAGCATGATGAAAAAGCTCTAAGGTATTTGAAGTTTGTTTCAGTTTTTTAGTTGAACTATCAGATAAAGACTTGACAATTGGTGCTAAATGTGTTTGACAATTTTGAGAACTATTATGTGTTGTAATAATTTCATATGTTACAGATTGATTTGAATGTTTTTTTCTATGTCTTCTTATTGTAAATTTTGAAAATGATATTGTCGATTGTTGAAGATCAAATTTTTGACAAAAACAAAATGTTTGTTTAAATGTGTCACGAAATGCTTGTGACATCAAACAATAAAGAATAAAATTAACTGAATTATTTATTAAAGCTAATATAT